CACACATTTTAAGATTATTTTGCCTAGTTCTATAAAAACTGCCATTGGAATTGTGGTGAGGATTTTATTGAATCTTTACATCACTTTTATTAATATATCCACTGTAGAGATGAAGAGAGAGAAGAGGAGGGGAGGAAAGGATACATAAAATAATTAGGATATGCTGTGTAGATGTACCAGTTCCCAACGATGATTATATTATGTACTGTGAATAAGTACTAATTAATTTTTAAATTAAAAAATAAACTTTAAATCTCATTAAAATTATGTAAATGCAAAAAAATAATTCTGTCAATCCATAAAAATTGGAAGATATTTCATGTTCTGGCATGCTTTTCAATTTCTTTCTTCAGAGTTCTATAATTTTTATTGTAGGGCTCTTTCACCCTCTGGTTGAATTTTACATATTCTCTATTTTGAAGATATTGTGAATGAAATTATTTTCTGATTTTTTTTCTCATATAAGTCACCATTACTGTATTAAAAGCTACTGATTTCTTAATATTGATTTTATGTCCTGTAGAATTAGTTTTAAGAGGAAAGATGGTAACAATGTTAGTTTTATAAATTAACTAACTTCATATTTTTAATATGAAAATTCACCTGAAGTTTCTCATTAAATAACTGCTCAACTCTTCTCATCTTCAGTGTGATTATCTTTAAAATAGTAATAATCTTCATTTTAAGTTCATTAGATTGAAAATAGTATGATATAAAGTACAATTTTAGTAAAACTTATTGAAGTTTTTGAAGATTGTTATTTTTATTTTTAGTAGTACACATTTGTACTATATAATGATTATATTTCTCATTGGAAAACTGATACTCATACCTATCATCTTAGTTATTTTTTATCTTTTTTTATAATTCACTACATCTTAGTAAATATCAGATTACCTAAGATAATTTACTCTTTTTCCAACTATCTCTACACAAGCATGAGGAAAAAGCTCATCTACTTGTGAACTTCATTATTTCATCGTAATTTAAAAAATTTTTCTATTATTTAGTATTTGTAATTTATTTGAGTCAGTAAATGTAGTAATCAGAAAAGTTTGTATAAAGAGCATTTTCAAGAATATTGTCATCTATTCAACAATCACTATTATGAAAGGCAAACCTCAGATTTTGATGGCCTAAGAAAAGACAGATATCAGAAATATAGTTCTACTAAGAGCTGGGCTGTCCTGGACAACTCCTAATGAGCACTGTGATAGTGACCCTCTGCTCTGAGCCTCCCCAGCTCTGGGATTACTGGCGTGCACCACCACGCCCAGGCTCAGCTGCTGGCTTAGTGCATCCAAGGGCAGGGCTGGCTTGGCGTGCGATACTAGAGGTTGAACCCTGGCGCCTGCACTTCCTAAACAGGTGCGTAGTCCACCGAGCTAGCTTGCTGGACTATATGTATTCTTACTAGGTCATGAACAAAACAAATTCATTAAATATATTCAAAACAAATGCTTCAGATTTCCTATATTGAAACTTCATTTTAAAATAAAGTTTTGCATAATGTTGGCTTCTATGAATACAAAGTGCAATGCTTGGGGACATTTATTACACTGTAAATTGTTTTTCACATTTTTTGCTTTAGATCATTAACTGTTTAAAATCTGTGCCTAGGGGGACAAGCCACTCGGGCCCCCCTCCTGTCCCTCTCTCAGACAGGAGTTTTCTTTTCCTCAATAAATATATTCTGCTCATAAAATAAAATAAAATGTGTTCTTAAAGCATAGTGACGTAATTCTTTTTAATATGCTAATACATAGTATGGCTCAAAAAACTGAAATCACTTGGAGCCATTTTCTCAGTTGAAAATTTAAAGTGTGGGTATGATGATGCGTGTCTGTAGTCCCAGTTTCTGCTTAGGCAGAGGAAGGAAGACCGTTTGAACTCAGGAATTTCAGGCCAGCCTGAAAAAACAAAGTGAGGTCCTATCAGGCGTAGGGAGGAGAAACCTCTCAAAATAAAAAGTAAACGATGATGTATAAGAACTTTAATAAGACAAAATTGGAATCTTCAGCATCTAGTATTAGAAAAAAATGATTTGCAAATCATCAGCATAACTGAATAATTTAGCCCTTATTGTAGAGCTATAAAACTACAGATGAAATTTTAAGAAATATTTTAATCAGAATTACCTAAAATTATGTATATTTAACAACTATGTAAAATACTGATGTTTAGAAATAAGTGCATTTTTTAAAATGTAGTTAGTGAAAGGTCTACAGGGTCTCACTACACAGATTGGACTCGTAGTGATCCTCCTGTTTTCACCCTCCCAAGCACTGAGATTACAGGCGTGTGCCATTACGCCCAGTCTCAGTCACCATCTCAGAGCACCCCAAGGGCAGGGCCAGTGCAGCACACCAGCGATCAAACCCTGGTCCCTGTGCCTGCCTAAACAGGTGCTTTAGTCAGCTGAGCTATCTAGCCAGCCCTGAAATAAGTGGAATTTATAAAATGAGGAGAATTTAGAAATTAGCATTGTTCTTGTACCGTAATGGCTATGTTTAAGTGAGGAACCTATACAATTAGGAAACAAATTCTATTTTTTGTTTACTGATGTATAGGATGGGGGTGGGTATTGGTCACTTTTGTGTCACTGGGACAGAATACCTAACATATCTAGCTTGAGGAGGAGAAGTTTATGTAGCTCATGGTTTCAGACAGTTCAACCCATTATTGCTTAATTCTAAAACAGAAATAGAATTATAGAGTTGCATTTGTAGAGGAAAAACTCCTGAAAACATAGCAGAAAGACAAAGAGAACAAGAAGAGAGAGAGAATGGGGGTAGAAAGGGAGTGAGACAGAGACAGACAGACAGACAGGCAGACAGAGAGAGAGAGACAGCAAGGTACTGAGAGGCAGAGAGACAGAGAAAAAAGAGAGACAGAGAAAAAAGACAGAGACAGAGAGAGAGAAAGAGAGAGAGAGAGACAGAGACAGAAACAGAGAGAGAGACAGAGAGAGACAGAGAGACAGAGACAGAGACAGAGACAGAGACAGAGAGACAGACACACAGAGGAGAGATAGAGAGACAGAGAAGGACTGAGAGACAAAGAGAGAGTCAGTGAGAGACAGAGAGAAAGACAGAGAGAAAGACAGAGAGAGGGGACAGAGAGAGGTTCAAGGTAAGAAAAAAAAAAGAAAGACATCACAGTGAGTCAATTTTGCATATTTAATGCATTTCATGATCAGAAAGATCATGAATTCAGAATGATACTTTTCATTTGTTTTTATTCACCATTGTTGACATATCTTTTTCAAAGGGGAAAAAACCCACTTCTTAATAACACTAACGTATTTACTTTCTTTATACCTCAGTACAACAACTTTAGAATTAAAGTACAGTACTATTACAACAATATCACACCTAAAACAGTTCAATAATTTTAGCAGTTTTGTCTTTTTTGGTCTTTAATACATATCTCTTTAGAATGGAAATTAAACTACTATGTTTTAAAGTTATTGTAATACTCTGGAGCTATGTCTCCAAGTCAATGTGTAGGATTCTGTGTATTTCTTTTTAATTTTACAAAATTATTTTAAGTGTTTAGCTTCATTTTCTAATCATTCAAATATCTACTGGATTCCCAGGCTAGTCTGAAAGGTAAGATGTATTTAGGTGTCCACTTTCTAAGCATCTTGTGTTCATCCATTCACCTCTCCCACCAAGAATGTCACTGCAGTAGCATTTTTATTATCATTATTCTTGCATTATTTTTCATATACTTTTCTTTACTTTTTTCACTTGGATATATATCGTGAAATAACTCCATTGTGCTATTTATAGATTGATGTAATTCCTTTCCACAACTTCATAATATGCTATTGAATGTACCATATGATTTTGACTAGTCTTTTATTGATGGGCCATTAGGTTTTTCCAAGATTTAAAGGTAAATGTCAATGAATTTTCTTGTAAATATGCTTCCTTCTGCAGGGCATCTCTGAGATAGAGTTCCAAAAGCCAAAGTATAGGCGACTACACAATGTCTCTAAAATTACTGAGTTTACTTCTATAAAAATTGTGCCATTTTCTGTCTCAACCAAGGCATTAAAGTGCTTTCTTCCCAAATCCTAGGGAACGGTGTTATTATAATGTTAGAATTTTTGTCAATGATGCAGCTTAATTAAGAATTCTTGTCTAATAAATGAATTTGAATTTCTATATCAAACACTACTGTTCACAAAAGAACACTTAAGCTTCAGTGTCTGACTATTTCATTTAATATTCTGACTTGGAGGTGACTCTATAAAATGAAATGTGTTTTGTGAAAGGTACAAGGAAAATTAAGGTTTGGAAGCTTAACACAAGGTTATTATATGTTTGGTTTGAGTTTCTAAAAAAAGTAATAAAAGAAAGTAAAATGAACATGATTCTGACAATAAACTACTTAAATTAAATATTCAATTTTATTCAAATAACACATATATGACACAGAAGAAATCTCAGTAATGACAAGCAGTAATTTATTGTAAATAATTTTATTAGAATATACTTTTGTAAATCACTAAGATATCTTTGGGAGAAATAAAAGCTTACAAATAATCTTATAATTAAAGGATAGATAAGTTGATAGATAGATAGATAGATAGATAGATAGATAGATAGATAGATAGATAAATAGATAGATCCTCCTTTGGTAAATGTAGATTTAATAAAATATAGAAAGAAAGATATCAAATTTCATATCATAATCAAGATCAAAACAAATTTAAAGCAAAAGATCTTCCTCTAATAAAGAAAAATAGGGTGATTTCTGGCTCATGTACTTGGAATACTTGAGTTTTTCCTATGATTCTCAACAATGCATCTAATTGTATTTTAGTGTCTTTTTTGGACTGAATAGAGCAGGTCGTGAAGCCATTTCATTAATGTGGCAACAGGTGGCGTCCTTTTCAGCAAGAATTTATGTTTTTCTTGAAACAGAAATATGAAAGGGATGCAGAAAATGATTCTTGATGATTAATTCTTAGTTATTTTCTTTGCTTTCAGCACCTTCTCTGATAGGTGTAGTAAGGAAGGACTGGGCATCCCAGAACAGCATTGCCCTCTCATGGCAAGCGCCCGCCTTCTCCAACGGAGCCATTCTGGACTACGAGATCAAGTACTATGAGAAAGTAGGTCTTGCTTAGCTTCTCCTAAGTGTACATGTGTGTGTATGCATATACATGTATGTATATATATATATATATGTGTGTGTGTGTGTGTGCATATATGTGCATATTAAGCATGTCTTATAGTATACTATTTTACCGTAAAATCTACTTTTGTTTGGCTTATCCTAATACTATTTGAATCCTATATTTTAGTTTTATTAAAGTTAAAAATACCAACCATTCATCTCTGTTGCGTCCTCTGGGAAGTTTTACAGCACAGTGCTGTAAGAAATAGAAACTCCTTCACCTTACAGTTCAGCCGCTCTCACATTAATTCTAAAATTCAATTGGCAAGAAATTGTAAAGTTGAATTACACATCATTTGCCAACCAATTTAAAATTATATTCCACTCAAATAGAAAGAACATGTTAAGGGACAACAGAAAATTACTAATGAAGTCAAAATTTTCCTTACACTCATTATCTATTTTATTTTGCAAGAAGCTGGCAAGCCAAGTTTGTATGACAGATCAATAATTTTATTTTCTATTTTGTCATTTTAAATTCTTCTCAGTTGTTGTATTTTCCCAAACTATATATTTCCTTCATGCTAATGTAGCTCTTCTTTGTTTATACTTTTCCCTCCATGCGCCTCACAGTTAAAACATTTGTGGTATAGATACTACAGCAGAGCACAGAGTCAGTTGTGGCATGTCTAACACCGCCTGACAGAGTTCTCTGATACTGCTCCACTACTGCTTCTAGACTATTCACCAAGAGAACATTGAAGAAAAAAAAGTTAATATAAAGATCACATATACAGTCTGCCAAAAAGAAGCATGTACACCTCAGCAGCTCGCCATACCAATAAATGTCTGAAAATTAATAGCCATGAGTTCGAGTGCCTCTTGTAATTGTAGAGGCCAAAGGCAACTTGTATTAACGTTTCAATAAATTTACTATTACACACATTTTTCTTTTCTTAATATGTATGTATTTTTGGCAGACTATTTATACGTGATTTATTGCAATAAGAAAGAATGTCTTTCATTTCTGTGAGATACTTAAAACAAAGACAAAAAAGTTCAATTTTCTCTCTGGAGTTTTGAAATTTGAGTCTGCTGATGTAAATGGACAACAGACACTTTGGCAGGAGAAAATGTACACTCATTGTTAATATGTATTTATGCACAAAAGCCACACAGGGTACGAGCCTCAGGGGCTCAGATGGTGGAGAGGTACACACTCTCCTCTACAAGGGGGGCGTGTACACTAGAGAGCTAGTAAATAATTTTTAGAAATGATTGGCTTGGAAGAGCAGACATCTGTTATTTGAATTTCAGTCTCTTTCCTATGATAATGAATTTAATCTTGCTTGGTTTCTAAATTTTCAGTTAAAAGATGAATGGCAATTGTTGTCATCAGGCAAATCTGGTCTTTCGGTCAATAAGAAACTTTCAGGGAAAGCCCTTCCTGCATAGCTGTTCTTCAGGTGCTCTTGGTTGGAAGTCAAAACAGGAATGTTGTAGGTCATATTTTCTAAAGCCTAATAGAAGCATCTTAAATAAAGGGAGATTTCTCTAAAGAAATATAGGGGAGGAGGAAAAGTGGAAGCTTACTTTTATTGTACTGCTTTGTGAGTAATGTAGGTTGACTAAAGGCAGAGGAAACTCGTTAGCATGACTGTGTTCATCTTGGCACTCTAGTAATTTCAGCATCGTGTAGTCAATAAAAGCTGACACTATCATTAACAGATGTGGATAAATCCAAAGCTTAAGGAAAAATTTACTGAGCTTAAATTAGATTACACAATCTGAACAGTAATGAGACAGCCCAGGCTCACAATCTAGTAGGGCTGGCCTTTAAATTTTATAGCTTGTAAGTATGTACTACGCTGCCATAAGAAAACATATATTTTCTGACTGCTGACTTAAATATATATTTATAAGGACTGGGGAGATAGCTCAGTAGAACAAGTGCTTGCCTGGCAAGTGCAAGGGCCTGAGTTCAACCCCCAGTTCCACAAAGAAAGAAAAAAAATATATATATTCAAAATGCATAGTCACCAAAAAGCAATGCCCACATAGAGACAAGAAACTTTTCAGAATCACATTATTTTTATTTTTAAAAAACATTTTGTGTGCGGCCTGGGATATAGCTCAGTGGCATAAGCGCCTGCCTGGACGCATAAGGTCCTGAGTTTGATCCCAGTACAAAAAAAAAAAAAAAAAAAAAATCTGTGTTGTATTGCATGCACAGAAAATCACTGCTCATTTATAGTTACTTAAACTTCATATATGTGAGAGTGTGGATTACCTGCGCTACTTCCCAGTAAAGATAGGTACAGAGCTTCCATAAGAAGAGAACTGTTTTCATCTAATTAGAATGTAGGAAATTCTATAGTACAATAATTAATATTATATCCATCTTCACATATTGCAATGTCGTGTTTAGGTTTATTATGTACGTTTTATTTTAATGCTCTAATAGATAACATTGTGAACAGATTTATCTCTTAAGGAAATGGCCATGCCCCAGTGACAACAGATTAAACATTTTGTTGCAAGTCAAAGACCCTAATTCGTGTTCTTCCTCTTACTCTCACTGTGCCTTTGGCCAAGGACAAGGCCAACAATCTCCTTGACTGAGACATCACATTTACAAAATGGAAACAAAGCTATAAACTCTCTTGTTGGGTTGTAAAGATTAATTATAAGCAGACCCCAAAATGCAAAACACTAAATCAACATTTTACAAAATTATTTAAATAAACAGGAAAAGATTTTTATATAAATCAGAAAACAATAATATGGGAATTATGACAACTATTTAGTTATATTTACAACATAATTTTCTTTTCATGTATGAATATATAAATGTGTGGACAACTAGCCAAAGGTAATGCAATAGTAAAACGTGTCAGAGAGAACATAAAAGAATTGGGACTATTTAAATTTTTGCCATGACTTTAGATTCTAAGTATACACGTTCTGTGTCTCCATCCATAATATGATTGCTCCTTCTGAGAAGATAATTAGGGCGGCTTACAATAGAACTCAGTTAAAAGTCCAATTTTTTTATTGCTAGAAATCTAATTATTATTTTATAGTAAGAAAAACAAGATGGTGAAGTATACAATTATCTATGCATACTTATATACATATACTTAATATCATTTAAATAAAAATAACTCCTCATAAACACATATTCATATGCAATTATATGAGTAATAGACATTTAGCATGTAATAGAATGCACACCAATCTGTTCCTAGTGTTACTTATCTGAGCTAGGGCACCAGAGACACTCAGGCAGAAACAGAGGGAGGTAGCAAATATGGGTGGATGGAATGATGGATGGATCCTAAGTAGCCTTAGGATTTGTCCTTAGTAATTATCTACTCAAAAGCTGATCCTGATAGGGCTAGCCAGGTAGTTCAGTGGACTAACATGCCTGCTTAGGCAGATGCAGGGACAAGGTTTAGATCCCCAGGGTGCCTTGCCCCTGGGGCTTGTGAGCAGGTGACTCAGACTGGGCATGGTGGCGCACACCTGTAATCCCAGTGCTTGGGAGGCTGAAAACAAGAGGATCACTATGAGTCTGATCTGTGCAATGAAACACTATACTAAATACATTTTAAAAAACAGAAAAAGCTGACGCCCAAGATGAAGATTTGTGTGCAAAGGATTAATTACAAAGATTTCCAGGAAAATTGGTAAGAGAATGCCAGAAGCAGGACTATGAAGGAAGATGCCAATCAAACACAATATGACTGAGGGAAGATCTGGAGTCTAAATTATATTCCAAGGATCATCCCGTAGAGACACAGAACATAAGCTCCCTAGGCCGAGGACATAGCTAAGCGGCGTAAGCGTCTGTCCGGCAAGCTCAAGGTTCTGAGTTTGATGCCCAATACAAAAGAAAAACAAAGCACACATGGGCTCCCTGACATAGCAATGTGACAAAATGTAGGCATGTCTACTTCTAAGAGTGACCCAAATTTACAGTCTAGGGAGAGGACTTTGATGCAAGCTTTTAAAATAAAAACACAAAACCTATGAAATGAGAACAGGAAAGGCAGAGATGGCCTCAGGATGTCTGCCAGAATACCAGTTATTGACAATAGCACCCATCTAAACACTTAGAGAGCCAGAGGAAAGCTGATCCTTGACTCACAGCAATCTTCCTGTTTGCTTAAATCTTCCACATGGATGCGATAACATTTGCTCTCCCTTGCATTTTCTTCTAATCAAAGTTACTCTGTATTGATACGCAAATTTGATTTATGAAAGATTAGTAGTCTTACCGTTTCCTTAAAAATTAGTGTTATTTTATTAATTTCTTGTTTTAAGTACATATGCATAAATTAGGAAAGAATTTATTGGCTTAGAATGTAAAGTGCCTACAAATATCTGAGGACCAGCAAAGTACTATTGTGATGGAACCTTTTCTGGGAGAATGCAATATATATCTCTCTATATATTTTATATATATATATATATATATATATATATATATGGCATTCTTTTTTTAAGTACCACTGTCACTGTTACATGATTTGGATTTGGTGCACATAGTAAATGTTCTTAGTCCTGTTTTATCATTTAAAAATAAGAGTCTAGAAAGATATTTTTTTATAAGTCTAGGTATATTCATGGCATAGTTATAGGCATATTGATGTCTGTATTGTTATATAGGTATTTATCTCATCCCTTATATAGTTACAAATTTTCATTTACGTTTATTGTAATGAAACACACACACACTTTTTAATATCTTTCACCACAGGGAGTGGTAATCCTCATCTCATAACTGTAAGAATTGAGACCCTGGTATCATTGTCTTCTGGGGGGTTCTGTGTGCACCTATATATGTTAAGGATGATGTACAGAAAGACAGATACTGCTTCATTGGTTGGAGTCAGTTAGGTATTCGCTATTTGATTATTATGCTCCCTCTCTTCCTGTGAGCAGCCTGAGTTGACCTGTGAAAATGGTTCACTACTTTCTCGACTCAGAAAA